ATAATTTACAATAATATCTTTAATTTTCTGTAGTAATTCTATAATAACTAATGTGATAATCGAACTAGATTCGTTACCGATAAATGACTGCCAAACTGAAGGGATTTGAATCTTTTTAGATTTCTTCTTGGTTTGCCTGCTTACTAGAGCCTTCTTTGAGTTTAACTAATAAGTGTAGGAGTTTTGAGGTATTTCACAATTAAAATGCTTAATTCTTAACAATCTTGACTTTATGCGATAGCAACAGCAATGATGATGTTGCTCTTCCAAATTGTTGATCTAATGCGCTTGAATTGGTGAATGATGTATGATATCGTGAGTCATACCGAGCACTTCCCGCATATGGTAATGTTCAGCAGCATAATCATCGGTTCAGCTGCTGCAAAATCAACATAGCATGACCTCCCACTCCGTGCTAACAGTTTACGAAAAAGTATAAAGACTAGATCAGTTGTGCTCAAAGCATCAGCTCTTCAATCCCTATCCACACTAACCAGTCATTTGACACAAGCTTATACACAGAGTTCTTTATCTTTCTGGGAAGTTACTGGTTAACGTTGTAATGATGTTACGTTTTGCCTTTTTCTTTAATAAAGAAATGTACAATTTTAAAGTTAAAAATTTGTGTATTTTTGGACTACTGTAATCTCATTGCTCATCTAGTCCACTTAAATTCGTTCTTCTCCTTTTCGAATACTTGATGTTTCCACTCTCCAAAATCTCTTTTCAGATGAAGTTTTATATTTTGGTCTCACTAGCTGCCACAGCAATCGCGTTTCCTTCACAGGTGATACCGTTCGATTCTATGGAGAAAAAAACTGTTAACATTCTGAAAGCAAGACTAAGCATTTCGCATACGATTTTATCCAAAATACAAATGTTTGTCAAAACAATTTTCCATCATATTATTTTACCATGATAAAAAAATATCCGTTATTTGCTACTCCAGTCGCAAACCTAACTCATAACCCAGGTCATTTGAAATAAATTTATTCTATTTTGAAATACATTGATTCTCTTTAACATTTTCATCTTTTACAGCCATTTGCTTTACATAAATTCCTGCTTTCAGATCAACTCCGCAAGCAGTGAAGAATCATTGGCAACGCAATACGATCGTTATAATCCAGATAACTACCAGAATGGCTTAAGCAATGGACAGCTGTTTCCCAGCAATGCCTTTAGCGCTCAATATGGAGAATTCCTAGGCAACCAAGGACAAGGCTCCCAGTTTGGAAACCAGCAAGGTTATGGTTACCCCAGAGGATTCCAGCAGAATGGAGGCCGTCGCTTTGGACAGCAACAGAACGGTAACAGGCGGGGTTGGGGACAACTGCAAAATGGAGGAAACCCACAGTTTGGAAATCAGAATGGAAATAACCAACAGTTGGGACCACAGCAACAAAATGGAGGATATCCCCAGTTCGGAAATCAGCAAAATCAGCAATCAGCTTACCCATTCAGCCAATTTGGACAAAATGGAGGAGGATTTTTCAACCCCAGAGAAGGACAGGCATTGGAGGGTGGATTATTCCAAGGGTTGCAGAACAGAGGTTATCCTATAGAACAAGGAGCGGTAAGCGGTAGCTTCCCAGGAAATGATGGACAACCACAGCAGAATCAGGAATTCAACCAGTTTCCATTCGGTGGCCAGCTGCAACAGAGCGGTTTTGCATCGAGTAATAAGGTCTAAAAATTACATGTATGTCTTTCTAACGAAATTTTATTTTTGGTATGTCTTTGTAATGAAATTATTTTTGTGCGGAACCTGATATATTTACTATGTTACGGATGTGTCATTTGTGATATGACCAGTGAATTTTTATGCAAAGAAGGAAGCTGTTTTTGATGATAATGCATGTCTCACATGTGTTCAACGGATAATTGTGAAAATCTTCTGCATTTTGACAACATTGAAAGGTACAAGAACAACCCCAAAAACTGGAGTTTTGACAAGAAGTATTATAAAGTTTTGAAGGCTTGATTTAAAATTAAGAGATTGGGAAGCTTTCAGCAATCAATATGTGCTATAGTTAGAAGTTGTACACAAACTTAACAAACTTGCGGAAAAACGGGAAATCTATGAACGATATATTTGGTTTTTTTATATGTTTTTAAATTTTCCAAATTCGACTTTCTGCATCGTTGCAGCTACGCAAACTGATATTCTTGCACTGCGAACCAAAAATTCTTAAACTTCCTACGGTTACCTACTTATCGAACTAGTATGTATCTTACCTTTCAACTAGGAGCCATGAATCACTAATAATTTTCAAAGCGTTTTTATCAATTTATAAGTGCAAAATGTATTTGGATAGATAACAGAAGCACCTTAGTTTGCTCACTCAGCGATTCTACCCACACGTTAATCTATTCTATAACCAGGTGAGAAAATAATTTTCAAACACACTTAGTTGCAATATCAGTCAAAAGCATAGAGCCAAAAACTTGACCAGTAATCCTCATTTGAACTACTCTTAATATTCGCAAAAGCGTAAATACTGAGTTCATAAAGTGATGTTTATTTATAGGAAGCACTATGATC